ATTGAGGGTAATACCTGATGGGCTAATCTTGCATCTGCCCACAGTCCCTGGGTTTTTATAAGGTGGCTTGGTCCAGGGACCACTTAGTGTAAGTGTTGGGCCCATTAGGAGTCCATGTGATGGGCTTCAGGGGGTTCACTGTCTTTTCAGTGAATTCGGCCAGGCCTTGTAACAGAGGCTGAGCTAAACCCATGTGGCTGATGTGTAGATCAATGTTTGGGTCCCACACCATACAAAGAAGCCCAACTGGACAGCAGTTTTGAAGCATTCTGAGCACTTAGACTTATTGGGCCTAAAGCCCATTTCGAACTGGCCTAATTTGATTAGTTAAATAAGGGGGTGGATTTGGCATTAAATCAGCAGATAGAATAGGGTCTTATCCCTATCCACTCAGAGAGTCTAGATTCAAATAAGGATTTGAATCTGGAAACCTCCTGATAAGATTAGGAGAGAGCTTATCTAATCTACAGATAAGATAAGGATTTATCCTTATCTCTTAAAGAGAACTCCTTATCCAAATACAGATTTGGATTACGAAACTCCTAATGAGATTAGGAGATCTCTTTAAGCCTATAAAAGGAGGAGGGGGCAAACCATTCAGCCCATCCCAGCATTCCAGAGATCAGATCTCAGTTTACACAGAGAGAAGACAGCACCAGTGTGACTGCGCCATCTTCTCCCTGCGTTCTCCTCCAGTTGCCGCCATACTGCTAGTTTGATCTCCATTGTAGGAGCGATCAAGAAGAGTCTTGATATCAGTCTTTGAAGAAAGGCTGATCAGAAGTCGTGCTCACTGCCTCCATTGGATTCTTGCTGAAGAATTCGGTTCGTTGGACGGACCTTGCTGATTCTGCTCCACCATATGCTGTGTCATCTTCAGCAGGAGCAATTTTGGTGTTTTTCTTTGGGCGTGAACACCTTCATTGGGAGATACTGCATCTTCGTATTAGGTATATCCCTCTCCTACTGAATTTGTTCAGATCTAGTTCGGTTTTTGGTTCAAGATTGATCCTTGAAAAGCAGTTTTCTAAAAAAGGGAATGTGATTCCCACATGGGAGAGAGAGAAATTTTTGAAATTTCGCCCAACCTACCTACAGGGTTTGGCCATCCATATGATGGATCTCTCATCCCTTCAATTTTCAATTCTAATAACACCACCCATCCCCCTTGTATTTGTTATTAGAGTGCACTTAATAACAAGACCCTCACAAGCAGATCAGGTGGTTGAGAACTCTTGCAAATGCCTTTGTTTGCGCAAGTGCTCTTAGTAACATTACTCCTTCAAAGAATTCCCTGAGTTGAGAGTACGAATCAAAGTGCTACTATAAGGAGTTGAGTCACTAGAAGATATTGACACCAAGGAAAAGGGCCGCTTTGTAAATCCACCCCCCCCTAGATATTGACACAAATTCTGCCCCAATTAAGAAAATCAAAGTGCTACTTGATCTCCACCAGAAAGAAAGAGGATTTGTTAAACTCAATTTGATGGAATCAGTTTGGGTAACCGGGCATATAAGGAATAGGGATGTTTAGGGATGAGAGGGAAAAATACTTGGTTTTTATTCTGGCCCAATTGGAGTAAGAGATTCCCTAAGAGCTGAAATTTTTGCTTTAATTGGAGTATAGAGGGAAAGATCTCTGAACATTGGAAAATTAGTTAGTGAAGGGGATTCTAAATTGGTTGTGGGGTGGCTACTAAGTGAGGAGGCAAAACTGTGGAGTTATAACAACGAAAGGAAGAAATTCAAACGGTTCACACAAAATATGGAAGTAGGAGTTCGATGGGTCAAAAGGAGTGCAAATTCCTTTGTACATGTTCTCGCTAAACAAGGGGCGGGTAGAGATCAGTTGTTTTGGGCACATTTTTTTTTTTTTGATAAATTGTTTTGGGCACAATTGTCAAAAGAAGAAAAGTTGTTTCGGGGAGGGATAACAGGGTTTATGTTTCACTGCTTCTGTATTTTATCGTACTCTTGAGCTTTATTTCTAATATTAAAGAATTTTACAGTTACCGATAAAAATAAAAACTAAAAACTAAATTAAATTGATAGACATTTAAATGCTAAACTTATGAAATCTGATTAACGCCCAAAATGCGACATGGTTAAGGTGTTCTAAAAATTATGGTTGAACTTATCTAAGTTGAATGAATGAATCCAAATGAGAAAGTAAATAAAAATAGTGAAAGAAGAAAGCAGAGGCTTACGTCAATGATGGCGCCGGCAGCCTCTGTCAGAGTTGGCGAAATATCGAGCAAATCACGCCTAATCAGGTTTATGGACAGTGTGATTAGTAATAGAAGATTCAACTATCGAAATCAGGGAAAAATTAATGATGATGCGGTGCTGGTGCATGGTGGTGGTGATCAGGAGGAACTAAAGAAAGAAATTACAAGTGAAGCTTCTCGTTAGACTCTTGAATGGCTTCTGATGGTAGATATTCTTCTATATTTGGTCGATCCAAATCCATCTCGGAGCTGGTTGAGTTGAGCTGACTCATTTTGGCACCTTCTTTTTCGGTGCCCTCTCTGTGGAGAGAGAAAGAGGTAGATAGAGTAGAGATGGGTAGCTCCTCCTCCACTGCGGAAATTTGCCTCTTTCAGTACCTCCCTCTTTCCCATTTAGATTCCCTCTACTTTTTATATCCGCGCACCTCGACATTCCTTTGACACGTGTGGAAAATGACCATCCCGTATTTTGTACGGGCTACTATATCCATTATTTTGTTTGGATGCAAGTAAATTTGGGTTGAATTTCTTATAATAAAAATTAAGTCATTAAAAACTTTACAACTAAAATCCCATATCATATAAAACAATAAGATCCACACTAGGTATCAATTAATCACTCGGCATGTTAAAAGCTTTTTATGATGATTTTCCAAAAAACAAAAATAAAGAATACGGTGAATTTTTTTCCCACCAAGGGTAGTTCAGATCTACTACCAACAAATATTTCCAATAGTATCCCAACAAGTGAGTGTCAGATGAATAATAAGGGAGATGTTAATATGTAGCTACGGTGAACTATTAGGATCATTTTGTTGATAGCATATCCCTACTCCAATGGTGTAGCCCATCCCCTAGAGTTGAGACAAAAAAAAAAGTTCGAAACACACTTTACCATGAGATTAATGGCTTATTCGTTTGTTTGGAAGTCTGATATTTAATATAGAAAAATTATTGTTTTAAATTCTAAAGTTTATCAAATATCTATTTTAATCTCATATATGAGAGCTTTTGTTTGTCTTTTTGGGAATATCATTGGCAAACAAAAAGTTGTATGATTGCACTTTAAAAAATAAAAGATAAGAGAAAAGGAACAAGCCCTAAGACTCATCATATCTAAATATATACATTTTTTATCGTTGGGAGAAGATCTGGTTACTACCCCTTATACCTGACACTCCCAACTCTAATGATAGCAAGATTTGATCCATAGTCTCTAGTAATATCTAATACACCAATTAGAGACATTATTAATTGAATCAATTGGTAGAGTCCAGATATGCTCACAACAAAAAAAAAAAAAAATGTTCCCATGGTGAGATTTTATTGTTGGGAGAAGATCTGGTTACTACCCCTTATACCTAAGTATATACATCATGTTCTAATATGTTGGAACATCTTTTATTGTTGGGAGAAGATCTGATTAGTACCCCTTATACCTAACACTCCCAACTCTAATGATAGCAAGATTTGATCCATAATCTCTAATACACCAATTAGAGACATTATTAATTGAATCAATTGGTAGAGTCCATATATGCTCACAACAAAAAAAAATGTTCCCGTGGTGAGATGTGCAGACAAGTTCATGTTGATACCATATTGGGACAACTTTTGTTGTGAATACATCCCGTCCCTAATTAGCACCACCCAAGTCTTTATCATCATCATTAGTCCCTCACATTTGAAGTGAGTACGTTTAATTAAGAGTGAAATAATCACTTTCATATTTTTTAAGCCAAGGTAGCCATATATTCAATAAAATTGCTCATAGAATGGATACTCTTTCTTAAAATGAGTAATCATTTGCCTTAAAAGACTCCCTAAGAACTTCGCTTAGAAATATATTATATAATGGCAATTGATAATCCCATATTGCATGCATATTGAATGAAGTTCTAAGTATTAATGGAAGTTGGCACTTTTTACTAATATTGCAATTAAGGACAATGTTCAATCCCTAGTTATGAATACTAATGTCAATCTGACTAATGGTGAGGATCAATTATTCTGGACTAGAAAGGACTAGAAATATTAATTTCACTTTCTTAGCTTGTATAGCTTGGGAGTTGGTCCACACTCAAAAGTACTATTGTTAGTTGGAAAAAATCTATTTGGAATAGAGATTTTTCCACTAAAATCTCAATTTTCATGTGGAAGTTTGTTGGAAAAATAATAATAAATAGGGCATAATAGAACTTATCAGTGAACTCTTTTCAAACCAAATTTGACAATGTTGCAGAACTGTGAAGACGAAACTGAGAATTGTAGAGAAAGGGAGGGCTGAGTCATGCCACTTGGTCAATCTCCTTAAAACCACATTTGCCCCCTACGATGTAACCGAGTGATTGCAAATCGGTTGCCAAGATAAAATAGCCCACAGGCCACTGGTAAATGTGCACTCGCTTACAAGACCTCCGCGAACCACAAAAGAGAATGCTCAAGAAAGAAGACAAACAAAGAATTGTGAATTTGTTGGTGTATAACATTGGGTTGACCACCACTCTATTTATAAAGTGTTCTCGGTCACCCGAATGAACACAATTGTGTTCTTTTAGAGAGAAGTGTCTTTCCAGAACAGTGCAACAAGACACCTGTTAGAAGAGACACAAAGACACAAAACAAGCAAGTAGAAGAAGACAAAAACATTTTAAACAAAACTTTGAAACTCAAAAGTCAAAATAGTTTAAACTGGTCAAAGGCAAAAACGTTTCGATGTAGCATGCATATACCCGCACCCTCATCCTCGCCCTCGCCCATGCCCCATTCTGGCCTGGCTTGGCCTAGCAAGCATGTGTGAAAAGCACCCCCAACCCCCCTCACATTCTTGTAGAGATATATACTGCTTTCCTCCTATAGGTCCCTACCCATAGGAAGATAATATACTCCAAGCCAACTCTTTTCCTAAGCAAAGTGGGACAAGAGTCTCCTACATGCAAGAGGGAAAGAGAGAAAAGATAAAACTAAAACAAAAAGAGGGAGAGAGGTGATTCTTGAAATTTTGAATCTCCCTCCAACAATACCCTACAATATTCAAAATTACAAGAAGATCAAACACCTGAGCATCGCAGTGAGAGTAGTATTCATGGTGACGTCTTTTGGACTTCAATCAAAACTTAGGTATGACAAATTGTGTTACAGAGTATAGGTAGAGTCAGACTCCTTTAACCTTTTCCCTTTGTTGTAACTAACTAATTTGTCAACCAACTCAACTCACATTTCCTTAGTGGTTCTTTTGTTTTGAAACATTTCGGCATTGTTCCCCTCTTCGAATCATAAATGTTTTAGAGAGTCAACCCTTAGAGTTCTCATAGAAACGACCACACTTCACACTCATTTATGTCGGTTATTTAGTGTACACTACACATATAGTTCTTAACCGATTAAGAGTCTTACACTCACCCTCCTCAAACTGTAGTTAATACTATCTTATTTCGACATTTGTAATGGGGCACAAATTAATAGTGCTTTCCCAAGTCATCCAATGATTCATTCTCACCCATTCAACCTAATTCCAAGGATTTCTTTTCACATAGGTTGGGTGTCCATCACCAATGACTTATATAACGGGCTTTAACCCCATTCCTACTGATGCCTCATAAACCACTTTAAAAGTTTGTGGTTTGGTTAATGAATCTGTAAGATTCTTTTCAAACCTTACAAAATACAGCACGATTGTACCTTCATTAAGGTATTGTCTTACCAAGTTGTGTCTTAGGCGGATGTGACTTCTTTTATCATTATACGTTTTATTCTTGGCTCTTGCTATTGCTGCTTGACTATTACAATGGAGAGATATAGATGGAACCAATTGTGGCCAAAGTGGTATATCTGCCAATAAGTTCCTTAGCCACTCTGCCTTAGACCCTACCAATTCTAATGCAATGAATTCAACCTCCATTGTTGAATTTGTATTGCAAGACTGCTTTACTGTTTTCCAAAAATTGCTCCACCTCCTAGGGTAAAGACATACCTACTAGTGGAGATACTATCATTTGAAATCTAAAATCCAATTTACATTAGTAAAGCCTTCTAAAACAAGAGGAAAACCTAAATAATACACACCAAAGTTTACGGTTCCCTTTAAATATTTTAATAATCTTACTAGAGCTTTACATTGTTCATTCCCAAGATTATGAGTATGCTGACTTAGTTTTCCAACTACTATTGTTATATCTGGTCTTATGCAGTTCATTAAGTATGACACAGATCCAATTATACTTGCATACTCCTTTTGTGAAACAGGTTCTCCTACATGTTTTCTTAAGTGGATACTACGAACTGGTTTACAATCACAGTGTCCAAACTTCCTAAGTATAGTTTCCAGATAGTGTGACTAGGAGAGAATAAAGTTTTCTTGTTGTTTATGGATTTTAATCCCCAAAATTACATCAACATCACCCATGTCTTTAGGCTCCATTTGGAAGGGGTGCAAATTCTGGTTCAACACAAATATGCATCCCAGGTTGGATTTGCAAGCATTTGGAAAGAGTGTAAAAATGTGTTAAAGATTGGTACAAATATGCATTTTTGTCAGAAAATGCATCAATATTGAAGACAAAGGTTACTTCAATTTTTTCCAAGCAAATTTTTCTCTCTTAAGCAATCGTGGGAAACAAGCCAACCATTTGCATTCGTCGTCACAACTTTCTACAGACATTAATCGAAGTCCGACGATAATGGTTGCTATTGATGTCTAATATTTGTCGTCGGTGACTTCTCTATGTTTTCAAGATTTCTTAAATCTATATCTAGATTTGAGCTCCTGCCTTCCTCATTGCAATCAGACTCAGATCTGAACCTAGAACTTCACCATCATAGCTTCATCCTCAACGGCAAGTCCAGATATTCTTAGATATGCTTCATTTGCCTCCTATTTGGATGTATAACCACTAACATTCTATTTTTGTGGTTCTTTTTCTTCATGTTCATTTTACTTCTCCAAATCGGGATTCCCCTCCCTACATCTACACTTTCACTAGTAATGTATCCAACCTCTTTCACAAGTTGGATTCAATCTGATTTAAGCTCCATTCACAATAAATTTTTAGATATAACCAAACTAAATTGAGCTCTAAAACAAGAGATAGACAACTGTGAATAGGTTAGTTTTACTTCTAAAGTAGAACAAGCTCTTAACGAACCTAAAGTTGAAACTTGCTTTTGAGAACTCACATGAACTTCACTTGTCTTTAGATTTTTTGTTGTATTTGTTTGTGTAAATCTCAAGAAGTCCCCCATCATTTTTACTAGTCGTATTTGTTTGTGTTAGACAGTTTTGTATGCCCTTAGCTTCAATCAATAATGATGTACTTTATGARTTTATTTTAATAAATAAAAGTGCATATTTGATTCATGTTCTCYTGGTATGTTTCTG